TTATTCCAAAATTTTCAAGTCTTCATGTGTTGAATGATGCACGCCAGTTCAGTCCAGATGTTAATCGAACGACTTTGGAGGTTATACTTTATAAAGTTGGGGTCAGCGATGAATCATCATTTCTCAAGCGTGTTATGAACTGTTTATGACTAAAACTATGCGCGCAATTTCTAATGGTTTAATCTGCAACAATCCAGGACATATCCGTGTTCTAAATTATTTGATCATTATTCACACATCATCTCACTATATTACTTCTTTGCATCAATTGTTTCTTAACACCAAGAATTTGTTAAAGTGTTTTCTTTGATAACTTTTTGCATTACATGAACTTACATAAAAAAGTGCTTGTCAACGCACAAAGGTTTGAGATTTAACGTGCCAAAAATATATGTTCATTGATTCAGGACCCCAAGACCTGACCGATATCCCCTCCACCAGCAGCCGACTACCTATCGCCAAGAGTTCAAAGGTACATTCCCGTAATTTACTGTGATTAAAAGCAATCATAAATCATTTCTGTAAGCACATCCAATTCCTTTTCTTTCAGGTCAGCACATTTTCGCATGCGCGCTCTGGGGAGTGCATTTATTATTATTTATTATTATTTGAATTATTTTACTGGGATGTTTTGATGTGTAAGCTCCATGCAATCACACCCGCTCATTTCTACGTTACTTCAATTCAGGGAATCTCTAAGGGGTTCCTTGCTCACTCACGTCTCTATCACCCCGAGAGACATCGAAGTGAAGCCCGACCTGTCGACAATGCGCCGACCAGCCAATACGCAACCATAGACCGGAGCTTGCTGGCGTCTTCAGTTGACAGTCCACCTCTTTCGGGCGAAGACTCCTCAAGCACGGAAGAAGAAGGCCAGGGGGAAGAGGATGAGGAAGAGAAGACTCCGCCCCTGCCACCACGTGGTAACCCCATTCTGCTTCCCCCACCACATCTCTAACTCCGACTATGTTGACGTGTAACTTGAGACGTGTGTTTATCGTAAAATGCACGTACTCCTATTGTTGTGGCGCAAGGTTTCTCAATGCACATATAAGCCATCCTTGATAAAGCACCCAAAAATGCCCTGTTTTTACAAATAAAAAGGAATAAGAACCTTCTTTGACAAATAACATCTTCCTATTGTAAAAATGTTAGCTGGTTCCATTTATAAAACTTTGCAGAATGTTTCATTCTGTTGAAATTTTAATTTCTAACAAAAAATATGAGTGTATTTCTACTTATCATGAATGCAATTTAAACGTATTAATCTAACACTACTTAAAAGAGAGAATATGACTGAGGGGGTAAGTGTTGAAGATAGACACCCTTGCAGAACTAAAACATAGTGCTATTAGTGTTAATTATAAATTGTTATAATTAGAGACTCAAGAGTATGAATTTGACAAAAACAAACAATAATTATGCAGTGAAATTAACATGAACAAAATAAATAATAATTACACATCTTTTTATGTAAATAGAAAGCCAAAGCTGCTGAGCGACTATTGAATTAAAGCATGACACTTAGGCAAGCTCAGTATGCATCGGCTCGAAAATGCAAGGAATGCAGTACGAATTGAAATGGCTGACAGAGCAAGAAAGGAAAAAAACATAGTTGGTGGGTACATTGGTCACATTGCTGTTCACTACATATATCGTTGTTTAGTAAGTGTATTTTCCAATGCTAATGCTGTAAATATCAAATGCTGCTGTACATTGCTGGTACATTTATATACTGGTATTTATGTACCATAATGCTATTGGTGCATCATACATTCTGAATTCTGTTAATTACCAACGACACAGTAGACTGATCCTTCATCGCTGCAGCTAACAATCGCTCATGGTATAGTCCACACGTAATGCGTTAATTAAACATGATGCACATTGTTGATAATGTAGTGTTGATACTGTTACTCACTCTCATAATCTTATTGTCAATTAGTGATGTTGTACACTGGGAATGTTGCTGGGCATTGTCGATGTCGATGCACATTGTTGATAATGTACTGTTGATACTGTTACTCACTCTCATAATCTTATTGTCAATTAGTGATGTTGTACACTGGGAACGTTGCTGGGCATTGTCGATGTACGTTGTTGATAATGTACTGTTGATACTGTTACTCACTCTCATTGCAGATAATCTTATTGTCAAATACTAACTAATATTCTCCACTTTGGTAATGCTGTGTCTGAAATGGTGATTCGTGTGTTTTTGATAGGACAATTAACTGCATACCAATCAGGTAAACGCAGTAGAAGAAACTGTGCGTAACGATAAATATGCTCCAATTACAAATAACTTTTAATAATGAAATTAGTTTTAAGTAATGGGCAAAAGATTGCATAAGATCTGGAAGCTGTTTTATTTATTGAAATAATGGACTATTTCGTATTACAAGAGCAGAAACACCATGAATTTTCCAGGTTTACATCGATAATCCTGTTTCATGTTAATTAAATAAATTTCTACGATAATAACTACAAGTTGTGGAGTAAAATACTTAGAAGAAATGAAGAAAGAAGAAATGAAACAGAATAACAAGCAAAGGCGGAATATGATTATTGGAAAGAAATAATAAATTTACAAAAGGAATTGGCCAGATTATAATATTACTAATACATTATCAGCAGTAGGCCAAATGACATGAAACTTACAATAACTTATTTAATTATCAGAATGATATGACAACAGCAATGTCTGAAGCTACTTTTTGAACTACATTTTGAACTTGGCCTTAATTTGAGGTGGCTCCATAGAAGAGGCCCTGGATTTCTGATAGTAGATAAATAAATATATGTTCGTGCTTTTTCGAGGTGTAACTTGGCAGCTAACTTTATGAAAATGAATATCTAATTTATGTTAAATAATGAGTGTATCCCCCTAACTAGAAAACGATTATCCGTTTCCAATTTATACATTAATACACCAAGGTGGTATTTAATTAAATAACGCAAAGACTGACATGGATTTGTATTTCCTGAACAGTAGTACATAACGTTCTTTGGATCCAGAGTTTAAGAGTTGTGTGTTTTTGCTGCTATGAAACACAATTTAGTGTCACCCACAAATAAACTAGAGGAACGTATACCGGAAGAGTTAGCGATATCTCTAATCGTAAATCAGAAAAAAAGTATAAACCAAATATTGAGTTTTGTGGGATGCCACATCTGGTTTGTACTCCTGAAGAGTAGTTGTTCGGGAATAATACATACTGTTTGCTATCACTACTCCTAATCGCAACTCCTCTGACTCCATTTTATTTCTATTTTACTAATGAGAATATTACGGCCTATGAAAGTTTCTAAAAAAATATCCCTATCGTGTAAAGAGAGTTGTGGAATGTAGAAGTTATTTTATCAACAAGGTCAATCAGTGCAAATTGAGTAGAATAGTTGGTTCTAAAGTTGTATATTCGATATGCTACAAGTTTTTTCTAGGATTGTAGAGAAACGTAGCAAAATAGAAACAGAGCGGTAGGTGATGATAAGAGATGGGTCACCATTTTTGCATATCGGGATAACTTAAACTATTTTCAAAACATCTGGTACTCTAGGGAACATTATATTTGGAGCTATATCGATCTCATCATGTCATCTACTTTTTTTATTTGGAAGCCTTTCTATACAGTAATAAACCAAAGAACTTGATGTTTTAACTCTCACAAGGTACGCATTTGTCAAATAAATAATTTCCGTTTGGGTAAAATACAGCAAAAATATAAAAATAGTGAGACGATGACTAAATTCAGATAACATGATTCCATTTGAATGAGTTTCAATGCTATTGGTCAAAATATTATCTATGAGGGTGACTGCGGAAAGCGTTCAAGAAATCATTGCTTTGGCTTTGAGTTTCATAATTCAGAACGTTTAAGTTGCAGTTACCAAGCAATTCCTTAGATGCAATCTTCCAAAGAATTACGGGCAAATATTCTGTAAAAAGGAAGTTAGATTTAACCCGGTTGGTCTGTAAATCAATCCAACTATGATCCCTTTGTACGTGTTTTTGTCTTAATTTATAATAAAAAGTGTGTCATTAAACCAGATTGCATAGCTAGATCATGACGTAAGTCGTATATGATAGAGTCTTTGATGTACCTTACACTACTTCCCTTTTGGTTTTGCCGATTTCTAAACTCAGTTTTATATCCAGAGAGATTTTACAAAA